GCAACTCCCGTTAGCATTTAACGTCCCATTCTCACGGAAGGCCTGTCGGTGAACAAATTAAGAAAGGTTGAGGATGGGGGAGGAAGGCTAGCTTTAAATAAAGGTTAAAGATGAAGGTGTCCCATATCATAACGGTTAGGGATGGAAAAGGAAATTTACCCAATAGTTAATTTTAGATTAAATGATAATTTTAATCCCTCAACATCATATTTTCTGCATTTTTCATTATTTAACTATTTTATATACTTTTTTAATTCTTCAACCCTAAAAATTACATATTTTCAGTTTTTTCATTAGTTAAATCCATTACCTCAATTCACGTGATATTTTTTATTTGTTTTAATGGCATGAATAATTCAACTAATAAAAGATACTTACCTATTTGAACTAAAATTAACGCATTAATAATGGGACCCACTCAATGATATTCAAAATTAATGTTTATTGATCTTAATTAAAATATAAAAGTAGGTCCCACTCTCACCTTCCTTATTTGATTAAAATTAATAAAAATTCTCAGATCCCACCTTTAATTTAACTTTTGCCCTCAAGTGAAATTATAGTCTTGCCCCCTTCATTTCTTCATTCCCAGATCAAAGATTCGTGAAGGTCGAATCCAACAAGCAACCAAATTCAAAACCATAATCGATTGTCATTTAAACCTACATTTTAATTGTCAATCACAGCTGAAGAGGAAAGAAACAAAAATCTAAATTAATTCTTAAAGTCCATGGATTTAACGGCCTTAAACAAAGCCATATGTGAACCCAAAAAATTTGGGTTTGCGAATCCTTGAAATAAATCTAAAGATTAGCCAGTAGCTTTAGAGGAAATGGAGAAGGGGAGTGAGAGAAGGAGGGGAGAAGAGTTTGAACAAAATTCAAATAGGTTACATGTAAACTCAAATCCGGGTTCATTCGAATTCAATTCATCTAGGTTCCACACGAACCTAGATCCAAGTGGGTTCATAAATCCAAATCTGCTGGGTTTCATGAAAGGGGATGTAGAGGAGAGGGGAAGAAAGAAGGAGATGGACGATCGAAGAAGGTAGAAGGAAGGGATATGAAGAAGAAGTTCGTAAGAACCCAGAATTCTGGATTTTAAAACCCATATATATGGGCTTGTACGAACCTAGATCTGGGAAGAATGAGGAAAGGAAGGGACAAAAGGGAAAGAAGGAAGAGAAAAAGAAAGAGATAGAAGAAGGTAGAAGGGAGAAAGTGCAAGAGAAAACAGAGGGAGGAGGAGGAAGAGCTAAATGATGGAGCTGAGGAGCACGAATAGAGAGAGGGAGGAGGGGATCGGGGTGAGAACATGAAGATGATAGGGGTATAAGTGTAATTTTCGAAAATGTTTTTAATATTAAAAACATGAGTTAGGTTCTAAGAATTTTTATACTTTTTATATATATGTGAAAAATTTATTATTATTAAAAGAAAATTTTAAAAATTATTATTAAAAGAAAATTTTAAAAATTATTTTTAGATATGTGAAAAAATGAGTAAAAAAAATTATGAAAAATAAAAATTTTTAAATTTTTAAATTTTACTATTTATAATCTTTTTAAGGCTAAAAATAATTTTAAAATGTAAATTTTAAAAGAAAAATTTTAATTTATAAAATATAAATAATATCAAAAAGTTAAAACACTTGAAAATTGAATCAAACATGCCCAAAATAATTGTAATGTGATGAGAAATCTGACTTTCCTTTTCTTTTCTTTTTTTTAATCACCATAAACTAATTGTATGAGATGTTATTACCGCATCATAAAAAAATGCCATATATCTTGAACGAATTTAACAACCACGGTGGTATTTAATTAACGTAAGGGTTAAAATTGTGTAATTTATAGAGTTAAGGATTAAAAATACATGTATTACATCTTTTAAAATATAAATTAAACAATTTTTTTTATTTTATAATATAAAACGGTCTAAATTTATAAAATAGTATTCTAAAAAATAAAAATAAAACAAAAGCAAAAATGTGCATTCGAAGTTGGAAGTCGGTTGCCCATTTGAACGTTTAAATGAATTGTAACGTGTCAGCAAGAGAGGAGCAAGTGTTGAAGAGAATGCTTTGCTTCTCCTTGCTTGTACCAACCTCGAACCCCTGACCTGTGGCTTAACTATTTCGCAAAATACGCCAAGCCAGCAGGCCAATGGAGAGGCTGGTGTGTTGAAGAGAATGCTTGTAAATGGGCGAGTGCCCTTGGCATTGCTCTCATGAGAAAGAGTTTGTTTTGTTGTCAGGTGTCCACCTTTTATAAATTCTTTTTCTGTTAAGGACGCTGTATGCCATCTACTTCTTCAATCTTGATATCCTCTTATGTTCTTTGTTGAGAGCTCACATGTGCATTTACATATATTCTACGTAAGAACAGACTAAACATATCTTGCGCTCAAAAGAAGGGGTCATCAGCCAAATCATTCTTACTAAAGTTCGTCTGTGTCTAACAGCTAGTGGTATGAGTTCCTGAACATCATATGACGAAGCTTGTACGTATGGTTAATTATATAGTTTTGGTCTTATTGCTAGAACATCTTTTTAATTTATTTCTGAACTTCATATAGTACATAAAAAACCATAATTAGTGAAGCTCCAGTTTGAGAATGCAGGTGGTGCTTTTTTGTCTGTCCGTGTAGAACACATGGTATGAAGGTTAGAGGCTTCTCTAGCCCTTGCACAGTTGATTTTTCTTTCCCACTAGGCTTATGTTTTATTGCTTATTATGTGATTTATGGTTTCTAGTTTTTATAAATTTTATAATTTTAAATAAAAATTTTATATGTTTTATTTTTCAATATGTTATTATGATTCTTATATTCCTTCTCTCCTCTGCTTTTCTGTCATTTGGACAAATTAAAATAACTAAAGGAATTAAAAGCAAAAAATAAAGGGCTTTTGTCTCCATTCCATTCTCTAATTTTTTTGATAACGAAATCAAGTAATTGTCTCTCCACGCAAATCAAACATACGTTAGTTGTTAATGTTAAAATTCGTTTTAAATGAAATTTAATTGCATATCTTTCAGAAGTTTGAGCACCATATTGTAATAAAATTGTTAAAATTAGGGACTGAATTGATTAAATCTGAAGTTTGAGCTTCAAAGCGCACAAGAGTTGAAAGTTAAGGGACAAGCTGCGTCTTTTACCATTAAAATTTGGAGAATTCTAGTGGGTCGGTGAACTCGTCACGATGTCCCATCAATGAAGGGATGCTGCTTTGTGCTTTCTCCTGAAGTTTAGGGATAGTTTATAACTTGTTTTAAAGTAAAAAGATAATAATAATTATTTAGGTAAAAGTTGATAGATTTTTAGTGACATTAGGTTAAAAATAAATGAGTAACTTTTTCATGTTTCCACTTTCAAGTGTTGGGCAGTGATATAGAATAATTTTTTTTTATTAATTTTTATATATAAAGTTTATAAGTTATTATATGAATATATGAATTTAATATTATCAATTTTAAATAAATAAAAAAATTAATTATTTAAATTATATTAAAAGATGATAAAATGATTTTTAAATTATTTTTTTAAAGTGTTTATTGTAGGTTCATTAATTATTACATCAGTAACTCCTGTTAGCATTTAACGTCCCATTCTCACGGAAGGCCTGTAGGCGAACAATTTAAGAAAGGTCGAGGATGGGGAGGAAGGCTAGCTTTAAATAAAGGTTAAGGATGAAGGTGTCCCATACCATAAAGGTTAGGGGTGGAAAAGGAAATTTACCTAATAGTTAATTTTAACTTGGGGATTTTCTAAGGCAAGGACAGGTTAAGTCTCATTTATTACAGCATCAGTATCTGTAATTAATGTTACATAAAATTTTATATAAGATTTAAATAAAATATAATATAAAATATAAAAATATAATATAATATAATTTTTTATCTTAAAATTTATAAAATGTTATGAGTCTGATATGAAAATTTATATAAAATTAACTAAAGATACCTTCATTAATGAGTTTTAACATGTGTTTTTAGAGCACAGATTATATAAACCTTTAACTTAAATGCCATTTTTATCTCAACAATATTAGGGTTTTGCGACTTTTTTGAATTTTTTGTTTTTCAACTATTTTATGTATTTCTTTGATCTTTTAATTCTGAAAATTATATAATTTTTGTCCCTCAACAAAGTTTGTTAACTCAATTCTCATGATATTTTTTATTTGTTTTAATGACACGGATAATACAACTAATAAATGATAAATGGACCAAAATTCATGCTAACTAGTTAATGGCAGGTTAAAAATAAGATCCACTCAATGACACTCAAAATTAATGTTTATTTATCTTAATTAAAATATAAAATTAGGTCTCAATTTCACCTACCTTATTTGATTAAAATTAATAAAAATTCTCAGACCCCACCTTTAATTTAACCTTCGCCCTCAAGTGAAATAATAGTTTTGCTCCCTTCATTTATTCATTCCTAGGATCCAACAAGCAACCTAATTCAAAATCATAATCAATTGTCATTTAAACTTACATTTTTATTGACAATCACAACTAAAGAGGAAATAAACAAAAATCTAAATTAATTCTTAAAGTCTATAGATTTAACAACTTTAAACAAACCTATATGTGAACCCAAAAAATTTTGGTTTGCAAATCCTTGAAATGAATCTAAAGATTAGTTGTTAGCTCTAGAGGAAATGGAGGAGGGGAGGGAGAGGAGGGGAGAAGAGTTTGAACAAAATTCAGATAGGTTACATACGAACTTAATTCTGGGTTCTTTTGAACCCAATTCATCTAGGTCCCATGTAAAGTTAGATCTCAAATTAGTTATATTTATGTTTTATTATAGTGATTAAATTGGGTAAATATTGAAAGATGTATTAAATCAAAATTTTGTATCAATTATTTTTTAATTTTTTATCTGGACTCTTGATATACGTATTACTTTTTATCTTGATTCCTAAGGTAAGGTTTTTTTTTTTTTTTTTTTTCATAAGCAGAGTTCTTGCCCTTAAGAAGTACAATTCATTCCTTCTAAATCAGGTTGTCTTCAACAACTTACTAAGGAAACATGAAGGCTAATCAAGTTCAACCGATTCCATCTGTAAGTATTTAGTTTTGTTTTTCCATACCTCTATCCATGAATGTTCATAAGAAGTGCAGGAACAAAGTTCTGAATTAGTATGGTTACCAAAAATTATATATGATAGTACTAGCTCACCATTTTGCACAGAGTAACGCAGGATTAGTTCCATGCATAATTGTGCCTGAGCTCCTTAAAGAAGATAATTATAAAAGGTGGTGCATTTTCATGCAACATTATTTAGTGGCTCAAGACCTTTGGGATGTTGTTTTATCAAGTGAGATGCCTGAAGAAGATCTTAGGGATTGGGTTAGAAAGAATGCTTTAGCTCTACATGCGATTAAGATTTCATGTGGAACAAAAAGCTTTGATAGGATTGAGGAGATGAATTCAGCCAAAGATGCGTGGAATGTATTGGCTGACTTGCATAAACAACCGAGTGAAACCAATTATGCAGGTTTAATTTCCTCCTCTTATCTGTCTAAAACATTTTCTTAATGTTTATCTTCTTTTAATGTCTCAGAAAATGTTAAATTTAGCTTTCCAACTTAAGTTAAAAATAGGTTAAACCTTCAATTTAGTCCCTCAATTATTGTATAGACTTTTGATCTGGTCCTTGAATTAAAAAATCTTTGATTTGGTTCATAATGTTTAATGCTTATCAATTTGTCCCTAAGTTGATCTTTCTATACAAAAAAAGAAAGTTGATGTGTCTTGTTATCAATGTGATATGTAGTCATTAAGAAATGATTTTCTGTCATTAAGAAATGATTTTCTGTCATTAAGTAATGGATATGTTAGTTGTTTTTTAATAGAATAACTAACTTGGAACTAAATTAGTAAACAATGGATCAAATTAAGGATTTTTTTGGTTCAAGAATTAAATCAAGAGTCTATATAATAGTTAAGGGATCGAATAGGGGTTTAACCTTACAAATAACTCTTGATTGGACCCCCAAATTAAACCAAAATTTTAGTTCAAGAAAACGTTTGTGTTTTTTTTATCAAATTGACTCATTTATTCCATCTTTGAAATGAAGAAACTTGGGAAAGGATGCTGGTCAACAATGAAAGGACAAAATTTGCGAGCATATTCAAGGACATCTGTTTTGGGAATTGGGATGCTCTAAAAGGGTTGGATGAAATTACTGAAATAATTCTTCTTGGTGGTTCCACTGTTCTCCATGTTGCAACTACTTATCGTCGTTTGGAGATTGTCCGTGAGTTGGTTAAGATAGCGAGAGAAGAGTACTTGGAAATACAAGACAACAATGGTGATACAGCCCTTTCCCTTGCTGCTTGTAATAAAGACATAGAGATAGCAAAATGCTTGGTTCAGAAGAATGTTAAATTGCTTACTATTTCGAACAAGGAAGGACACATACCACTTGTGGTGGCATGCATTAACCGCCAAAAGGAGATGGCATCCTATCTCTACTCCAAAACTGAATCTGATTTCTTACTTTCAGAAAGTAACAATCATGGAACCTTGTTCCTCAAATATTGTGCACTCAATTTTATGCTTGGTAAGAGTTGGTGGCTAGTCTTTCTTATTCTAAGCTCCAATTTGATCTTAATGCTCACCCTATAAATTTTAGGTTAAGAGAATATTTAGCAAGATTTAAAAAACATTTGTTTTAGAAGTATTATTCTTTGATCACAAATTCAAAATTTTATTAGAGAAATGTTAAAACATTATCTTTTGAGAATGAATTTTAAATAAAATTTGAAGAGTCAAACACTTTAAAATTTACTTAAAACTTTAAAGAAAATTTTAAATTTCTCTCTAATAAAATCTTAAATTTGTGAAAAAATAATAATATCTTTAAAATATATATTTCTTAAATTTTGTGAAGTTCCGTCTAAATATTGAATAGTCCTGGCTTTGATATTTTATTCGTACATGTGGGGATAACAGATGTTGGTTTGGAAGTGTACCTTCATTGTCCACGCTTCGCAGCTAGTAGAGAATCCATTACAATTTTAGAATTGTCTCGTCAGCCTTCTCTATTCCTCAGTGGAGCAGCACGGAATTTCACGGCGTTGGATATTCTATTGTATCGATGTAAGTTTTACGTCCTTAATTTTTCCTTTAGCTTTAATATTATAGATCTAAATTAATTTATGCAAGTATCGAGGAAGACAAATATACAAATACTATTAATTTATGGAGGAAGATAAATTAATTTATGGAAAGTACAAAAATAGAGTGCATTTAGTCTAGGTATAATTTCCCATATGCACATGGATTTGTAAATTGTAATATATAGCTAAGGACACTAAGGTTCCGTTTGGTATAGCGGTTTTGGGGTAACGGTTAGCGATTTTATTTAAACTGTTAAATATAAATGTTTAGTAAATTTATATATTTCGAAACCGCTACAACTAAAGTATTTGATAAAATTTTTATTTAGCGGTTTGAGACTAGCGAATAGCGGTTATGGTCCAAATTGCTAGCGGATTGAAAAAACTAGTTTATATAGCTTTTTGTATCAAACCACTAGCGGATTATAATTTTTTAATTTTATTGACAAATTTATCCATTTTAATTTTTTAATTTGTGGTCACATTTTTTAATTAATAATTATCTAATAAATTTTAGTTTTGTTTTTTTACCTTTAATAACATTAAGTGATTATAATATTTTTTTGTATATTAATTTATAATTAAAAAATATATTATCTTAAAAAACAAAATTTTTTAATCAGACAAAATGATTAATTTTTATTTAAAAATAATATAATTTTTTTAAAAAATAAAAATGAAGGTGTAATTACATTATTATAATTAATTTTATTTATTTATTTTATTATTATTATTTTATAAAATTAATAATTTTAATAATAAAAAATAAAAATATTTTGAAAAATACACTTATTTGTTTTGAAACATATCCTTATTAGTCATTTAATATTAAACAACAACTGCTAACTATTGTATAATCAAACAATTATATTTATCGAATCCGCTATTTACCATACGCTACCCACTTTCCGCTATCCGCTAACCGCCACCCGCTACCTACTACCGCTATCCGCTATCCACTACCAGCTATCCGCTACCCGTTACCCGCTACCCGCTATCCGCTATCCGCTGAATTTTAACTGCTGTACCAAACAGACCCTAATTTTCTTATTAATAAAAGTAATATATATAACTTAGAGAGAAGAAACCAGCATTGAGACTTCAGTCTTATATCTAGGAAACCCCTCTGATTTTGCAGAACCTTCACCAAACAGCTAGAAAAACGCTGTTTATACAAGCACCGTGAGATCTCTATCACGGACAAGATGGCTTTCTGATCTTTTCTTCGGTTTTTTTTTTTTTTTTGTTATAAACTACTCATTTTCTGTACATATATCATCTCGAGAGTAGAGACTTGGGACAAAATCACAAGAAATTAAAGTTTCTTTTCTGCGTTTTGGTCCTTTTTAATCTAAAAAATTTACTTACATAAAATGAATTTCATTCGTTGTTATTGAAGGTCTATCTGTTGGAAAACTGCCGTCTCCCTCTGACGACGCTGTAAGTTCAAGTAGACGTGGAATCTTCAGAAGACAATGTATGTTTTTGTTACCTACATATATTGATTCAAATGGCAGTAAACTTGCTTTTTGTTTACCGAATGGGCCGGAGTAGCTATTCCATAAATATATATTAAGCCAACATGAATGGTGTTTGTATGTTTGATATTGCAGTAGCATGGGTTAAAGTAATGGATAAAATATTGGCAGTCTTTTTCTTTCGATTCCATAGACCTGGTACGTAACGTCTTCAACTAAACCTTTCTTTATCACCATTCTTTAAGCAATTTCTCCTCATTCTGTCTTGACTTGGGTGTAGGTAAACTGAGGGGCTTATATAATCTGCAATTAACCCATAGGTATGTCCGTTTTGGTTCTGCGTCATTGGTGCAAGGAGATATCAACCTACACGGATGTGAAACAACTTGTTGAAAGTGAAGCAATCTCAATAATCTTCCAAACAATCAAGCAAGGCACTTATGAGATTGTGTACTGCATTCTTTTAGAAAACGCCGATTTAATTTGGTGCAATGACAAGCTTGCAAGAGATTTACTCTCCTCCGTAATCAAACATCATGACTATTTTCTTTTACGTTTTGTTACCAAGTTTGATGCAGGGAAGAAAGCACTTCTCTCTTTAAAAGATAAAGATGGAAACAATGCGTTGCATCTAGCAGCCAAGTTACCTGACTATCATTATGAGTCTGCTGGTATCGACGCAGCTTGGACCATGGCATCCGAAGAACAGTGGTTGAAGGTAGTCATAAGCTCTTACTTCATATTTCTTTTCTCTAATTAACAAGCGGCATACACTATATTTCTTACATCATTTTATTTTACAGTAAAAGATTAGAAAGAAAAAATAATAATAATCTGAGACAAGTAGCTAGCTAGAATTATGAAATTTCTTGGTGGAGTTGTAAGTTTAATTTGGAGTGATAGCTGTGCCTCAGTAGTAATCAAATAATTTGTTTTCTAGAAAAGATTTGATGTTTTCTGTTCTTTCTTTTCATTTCTTTTTTTTTCCTTTGTCTTTTCACTTTAAGTTTAGGGCTAATACTGTTATGAAATTGCAGAAGGTGAAGAGTCGCCTTCCATGCTCGTATCAAGATGAGAAAAATCTTTGTGGTGAAACTCCAGGGCAAGTTTTCTACAAGGAACACAAGGAATTGATAACAAATATGGAGGAATGGGGAAAGAAAACTGCAGAGTCTTATAGTTTGGCATCTGTTTTAATTGTTACCATTACGTTTGCAGCACTCTTTACAGTTCCTGGCGGGGTCGATGAAAAGACCGGCAAGCCCAAATTGTTGCACATAAAAGAGTCATTCGGGTTTCTAATGTGTGATGCAGTGTCCTTCATTACTGCATCAACTTCACTTTTCGGATTCCTGAGTGTACTCACACTAACTTACAGAAGAAGAGATCGTCACAGGGCTCTGTACTCTCAATTGTTGTTTGCCATTTCCACCCTCATCATTTCGATAGCAACGATGATCCTGGCCTTCATTTTTGCTCTTGCGCTGATGTTAGAAAACAAGTGGCAGGTATTACCGGCTCTTATAATATACCTCCTAGTAGTTTTTGTCGTCTGGTTGTCTGACAGCCAAGTTTCCACACTTCGAAAGCTTCATAAAATGGCGATTCAGTGACCAAAAAAAGGATACTATATTTGAGAGAAAGTATGTGGACAGCATTTGAAGAGTGTTTGATGGTGTTAAATTACTCTCTATTTATTTTTAAATTTGTAATGTTCTGCCTTTATATGTTGGAAACATTTGTTTGTGAAAATTATTGGTGTTCGGATTTGATATGTTTGATTAATTAATTAAGTATTTGTCATACATTTTAACGTGAACAATTTAGGTTTAGTAGTTGAGAATGATTTGGATTGGGAGGCGGTATTGACTACTCCCCACATCCCAAACTACTGTATTATTATTATTATTTTTTGTTTTTTAAAGTCGATATTTTTTTAGTTTGATTCTATTATTATTTTTAATTATTATCTTTATTATTAATTTTTTTTATATTTTTATTTGTTTTTTAAGAATAATATAAGTAAAGAATAAAGATATAAATTATCTTTAAAACCTTTGTTATTCATCTCTAACATATCAAGCGTTTAAAATTTAAATTTAGTTGTTTATTTTTTATTTTAAAATATCATTTAATATATTTATATTGATTTTATTTTTATTTTAAAAAAATAATTACAATTTATAAAAGTATTAAATAAAAAAATTTTAAGAATGAATCAATTGAAATATTGTTTTTAAAAAGAGTCGAAAACTAACCCTTATTTTGAGAAAGTATTGTAAGAAAACAAGTTGCATGTTGCTGTCGATAAAAGTTATATATAAAAATATTAATTTTATATTATTTTATTTAAAA